GCTTTGCGATTACCAAAAAAAAAAAAAAAAAAACTATACTAACTCGATTATCCAAAAAAAATCTCTCTTAAATTCAGAAGTTCCGTTTACTGACGAGAGAGATATTTTCTCTCTCTCTCTCTCTCTCTTTACGGTTTACGTTACATTTCATCATTCAAATATTATTTTTCTCTCTCTTCCCTTTAGCACACTCGTGCAGATGGTGGCCGCGGAAAGCGTGGGTCTCGCGCTGCTGTGGGTGACGGTGGCAGTGCTGCATATATCCGCACTTATCGCAGGGTTCCTGGACCTCGACGTCATGTTTCATTTTGTTATTGCGTTTACCAGTTATCTGGTCATCACGCACCTCTTGCTTAACGGATGGCTCGTGCGCATGTAAGAATGGTGGTTTCTGTGGACGTGTTTAATCGCGATGCATTGTCTTTTCGTTGTATGAATAGCAAAATAATTCTTTCTGGAGAGATATCTTTGGATAATTTTACACGCAAAGGAGATTACTGAAATATTTCTTTTCTTTTTTTTACAGATACTGGGATAAAATAAGCCGGTCAAAGGCAGTATTACTTTATGTCACATTCACCATTCCTCTTTACTTGTGAGTATAGTCGTTAGACTCATTAATATTATATAAACATTTATATTCATGGTAATACATGAATAAATGCGTGGGGTATTCTAAGGAATTATATACATTACTGTGCTTCTGCAGACAGATCTTTTAGACAGGAATGAAAGGAAATGTTCTACTGAATGTAATGATGAATGTAATGAATTCGATACTTTTTATTCACTACTTACTTCTTAGAATTCACTGGTACAGTACATCCTTTGCATTGTTACTGGATTCTTCGATGTTTTTGTAGCATCAACTATATTGCGAAATTGGTATGTCTCAGCATTCCCTTTAGAGCTGTGGTTCTTAACCCATGGAGCGCGACCCAAAGTTGGGTTGCCAAGGATATGTGTACAGTTTTCCCTCAGTATACCTATTCAGAATGTTATCAAAGCATTAATCCTGCGTATAGAATACTGAAGCCATTAACATTTAAGGCTAAGCAATTCATATTTTGGGTACCATCCAAAAAAGGTGGAGAACCATTTGATATGCATCCTAGCCGTTGTATGGCCGTTCTGTCTCCAAGTAAGGCTAGTCTATCTATCCGCTAGGGAGAACGCAAGTAATCCGTGGAATGTTGCAGGTTGTTGTTCCGCGTCCGGCATGCTGTGGCCGCCTTTCGTGGAAAGAACCAGGTCGTGGCTCGGCGGGAGGCTCTGAAAGCCAGGTACGCCACCTCTATCGAAAACAGTGCCGTCGTGGAATTCCCATCTTTAAGTGCGGCAGTGCGTCGCGCGAGCTGCGTTCCTCTCAGCACTGAAATGTCGACGAATGGCTCCCAAGGCGACAGTGAAGTCCCTCTTAGTTCGTGGGTCGTCACAGAAACAAACGTGGATGCCGGCAGCAAGTTGATCAAGATGAGCTCCGACGACGTAGGGGTGAGGGAGCCGAATAGCTTTTCGCATCTTTTCATGAGTGATTTATCCGAGCTCGTCGCCGGCAGGAAGACGCTCTCATTCCACTTCGTCTTGAATGCGAATAACGACATCATCCACGTCTCGAAGACCAGCACCCTGCCCAACGGACTGCCAGACCGGGTTCTCAGCCTAAGTCCTCTCACAGTTTGCAATGATACCCATTACTTGATCAACCTCAGCCAAGGCACTGGGTATGAGGTTGTCGCTATAGCAGCGAGAAATGAAAAATCCTGTGTTACTGTTACACAGGCTAACTATTCATCATTTATATGGTGTTTTACACTGTACAGCACCGCCCTCTTGGTCTATGGACTGCTAGTGAACTTAAGTTATAGTAAGTAACTTCATATATGTAAATGTTACTGAATTCAAAACGCACGCACGCGCACACACACACACACACACACACACATATTCGTATGTGTACATATATGAGTGTGTGTATCATCATAGAGCGGTTAATTCATTGCTGAATTGCAATGAATTGTATATAGATAGATACCATGTATGTATATATATATATATATATATATATATATATATATATATATATAATATGATATATATAGAATAGGATATATATATATATATGAATATATATACACTCATACATATAATTATATATGCACACAAACGTGCGCATGCGCACGTGTGTGTGTGTGTGTGTATGTATGTGTATGTGTGTGTGTTGATAGATAGATGTAGATGTACACACATGTTTGTGTGTATATATGTGTATGAATGCATATATATGTATATATATTATATATATGTATACACGGGTAACAGGACAAAACATTCACCTTTCTCCTCTGCCACCCCCTCCTCTCTCCGTACACAGACGGCAGAGCCACCGGGTTGTATCACGCCGGCTGGATGTTCACAGCCGCCGCCTGGTTCCTCACGTGCCGGGGTGTGGACGAGCCTTGGACTGACACCTTCGCCAAGATACCGCTGCGGTTGTGTTTCACCGGTGAGTGTTTGCGAGTGATATTTGTTTGTTGCATAAAAATTATGGTAAAGACAGTTTATGGTAACAATATTACTAGTAAAACGTGGCGTAGCTCAGAGTTCCCCAATAATGTGAATATATATTTCTTATTATATGAATTGTAGATGGTGTGGTTAACTATGCATTGCTTTCACCGGATAATACTCTTAATTAGTTATTAAAGAATTTCTGTGTCGTCTTATTTTTGTAAATGAAATACGTGATTCCAGGTTGATTTTTAAAAAAATACAAATTTACAAAGAAAACTGTGATGATAAATAGTTCGTAGAGTTAACAGGATAGTTAGGGGAATTAATGAGATAGTATTGTTTATGGAATCAGTGGGATTATTTGGGCAGTAATCAGATAGTTAGGTAGTTCAGCAATCTTCTTCACCTGCAGTATGCCGAATCGTTCTGATGTGTGCCGTCGCCTTGGGCGGGCTGGGCAACGTCGCCATCATGTACCTGAGCGCCAAAGCAGCGGGATATCTCGCCCTGGTCGGGGAGTTAGTCTACAAGAATCTCAGAAGGAATGTGCGTCTTTGGGGCGACGTCGTGGACCGGTATTTCTTCGACAAGACTTTGGTGATGAGCTACCAAGGGGGCGAGAGCGTCGTCTGCTGCGGTTGGGCCATTTGGTGTCACGTCTGCCAGCCCTCCGAGCATAGCCTCGCCCTGCTCGTCGCTGTGTTGCTGGGCCAGGCTGCTGGGATGATTTACCTGAACTTCGTGAGAAGGTTTCTGAAAGAGCCCTTCAAGAATCCTGTGCGCATCCTTATGATGGCGAAGGACAGACTGAATGCAGCGGAGAAAAGTATCTGATATATTTAAAGAAAATTCGTGTGTCTTCATATTTGCTTACTTAGTTGTGCAGTGTGTGTAAGGTACATAGGTAACTACATTGTCAGTAAGTATGGACTTGTACATAAGAACTTTTATACTCTTTATCACCCAAGGAATATCGGCAAAGTTTCCTTAGTAATGTAAATAGGTCTTGTAAACATAATTGGGTCAATATGTAGAAGAGGGTAGTGGGTTATTTTCGAAACAATTTTGATATTTTTCTGCATGAAGTCCACTGCTTTCAACGATTCTAGACATTGTTACTGCCTGTAATGAACTCAAGTCGTTTTACTTAACTATTTGGTATTTGTTACCGAGAGCGAAGCACCCACAAGAGACGAAATCCTAAAGCCAGGGTAACATGCGAACCCAAAACACATAAGATGGCAGTCTATTTCCCTCTGTCTCTGTGCGTCTGTCTCGGTAGCACAATATTAGTATTTCAGTTTCCCCGCGGCTACACTTGTACATTAATTCGTAAGGCTCTTTACGTCTACATTTCACTTTCTTTGAAACCGTTCCAATGGGTTATGTTACGTGCAAAGTACATTATTCACATGTCTCATGTACATTTTGAAATGTCGATATTTGTTACCGAGAGCGTTGCACCCTCCAAAAACGAAGTTGAAAACCAAAAAACATACTAAATATTTCCTATCTTCTATTTCTTACAAAGGAGGTGACCCCCCCCCCCTCTTTCTCAGCACTTCGTATAAGCTTACGAAAAACGCAATATAAACCGTTAGGGTGTTGTGGAGCGGTGACATGCAGCGGATATTTTCATCATTTCACGGTAAATATGAGGCCGCAGCAGCTGTCCCTGTGTTGGTTATAACTCAAGTTCTTATACTTTACAAGATGGCGGCATCCTTTTCCCTCCATCTTTCTGCATCGTTCTCGGTAACTTTAACCGAAATGTCTCCTTGCCCTAAATATTATGCAGCTATAATAAAGAGCACATATGTTTGTAAATAAATAAATAAAAATAAAATAGTGCCAAAGAGGAAATGCTAAATTCAAATGTATAAATAAATAAAAACGGGAGAAAACAATTTTGCAGTATGTATAAACAACTGAAATACCATAGATAAAAAGGAATCCAACATTTCCCAGAGTTGCAAAGGTGAAGCATTTGTTTTAATGCGTCTTCCAGGACGATAGGCTCTATCGCTAAACAAAAAACCTACATGTCATCTCTCTAATTATTTAAGTTACTGAATTGTGATATTCTTTTTTGTTAATGGTCAGGAGATAGTCCTAATAGCTAATTATAATTATCATCACGTAGGGGTTGCAGTAAAACGGGGGTAGGACGACAGAATGCCTGGGACCGGAAGGGGGACACAGCGTGAGGAACGCAGTGTAGAAGACCCATTATGAAAAAAATCAAGGTAAAACTGGGTGTCGGAGAAGTAAGAGAAGAACCCAAGGAATGAGACAAGTATCAGTAAAAGGAAGTGAGGAATTAGGAAGAATGTCAGGAAGGGAAATGTGCGGGGAAGGACACTGTTGAGCCAAAAGGGAGTAACGTGGGAGAATATGGAAGGACATGCGCCGGGAAAGCTGTAGAGATTAGAGAATATCTGGATTTGGAATGGCAAAAGAATTTGATTAGGAGAGAAAGGGGGTAGAATTAAGGTGGTAAGGGGTAGGAGAAAAAAGATACTAGGGGAAATGTAGAGACATCTTAGGAAGACGAGAGAGGTGTAGGGAGCTGTGGGAAGGATCACGAAAAATCGTTTTTAAGATTTTTGTAGAGATTGGGGGTAGAAGAAGCACGGGGACGTATGGAAGACGGAGTAGTGCTGAGGGAGGTAGTATTATGGAGAGGTGGACAATAAGGCTGTAAAGTAGTAATAAGGAAGGATGGGGTAGTTGATTGTTGAGGTTTTCCTTGGTTGCAATTCCTCTTTTTATAAGTTCAGTTTTGATCCTTAGACGAGTGGGTATTTCTCCAGGATAATTATATCAGGACACATTTCACCAATATATTTACAATATATTAATAGTAAACAAGACAAAATCTACATCCACAAGAAACGACATTAAGAAGGAAGAAGGGTCTTCACGGATAACTTGTTTGCTTGCGAGATCTGAGCACAGACCCTTGTCAGCCGTCCTGAATAAGGTGCTTTTGAGTGAATGTGTCAAGTTTCACCTTCATAAAAGTGGAGACTGCAAATGTCTAGAGACCACCATTAGCATTGTTACATTATAATCAAATATACAGATTCATCATTTTCATGAAATTAAACAAAACTGCTGTATATGCCAATACATTGGCAATACTTACAAAGGTGTGTATGGGCACGGAGCCTGGAGCCAAGTGAAGGTCGTGCTGAATGGGTCACCGACCTTGCTTTGGTCGCGGGAACGGTACCAAGGAACGCATACACGCACACACACACACATACACGAAATCATTAAAAGAAAATGGACAAGTTAAGGAAAACTAACACTAACTCTGGACATTGATGAAGAAGGGTGTGGGGGTAGTGGTGATGAAGTTGACCATGTTGGGAGAGTAGAAATGTCTCTTGGGGGTTGAGTGTTGATTTTGGTGAATAATGTACTAGTAGGTATTAAAGAGGAGGTAGTAGTTACAGTGTTCGGAGCCGTAGTCAAATGAGAGCCTGGAGTCAGGGAATCGGGAGAGTTTGTATTGGCGGGGCTATTTGATGAAGGGGCAAGCCTCATTGCCCTTCGTAATGGTATAACATCTTCATTGTTGGCCATGGTAAACCTAGAGTATGTTGGGGAGAGACACAGTCCACCCTTCAGGGTCCCCTTGAATGGTAAGAGCTAGGCAACTAAAACAGGGAAATACCGTGCCCATGGCTCCCTCAGGCTGATCAGGACTGGCAGAAAGTCATCCTTTCATCCCTTCAGCACGGCTCTCATACCTTAGGAAGTGGATAGTAGAAGGAGTTGGGGAAGGGACGGAAACGAAAAAGCAGGAAGGAATAAAAAAGACCATGTAAAATTAGTTGAGCCGAGGGCTGAGTCCCAAGGCAGGGGAGTTCCCTAGCATTGAGTCAGTCTCTGCCTCCACCCCCCCCCCCCCACGACAACAACGGGCAAGGGATTTGCCTATTTGTTTTTGGAAATAGTTGAGAGAGGAGAGTATTGTCAGAGTAAGGGGCTGTAGGAGGAATCACAAAGAATCAGTCCCACTTAACTTGGCTAAAAAGAGTACTCAGGTTTCTAGCCCTTTCGGTCCGGATGACTTGACCATCACGTCATTTTTTTTTTTTTTTTTTTTTTTTTTTTTTTTTTTTTTTTTTTTACGCCTTGAGGGGTGGGTGGTGTGAACATTTTTTTTTTTTTTTTTTTTTTTTTTTTTACGCCTTGAGGGGTGGGTGGTGTGAACATGCTGTCATGGGAAATTTTGGCTGTGGTTTAGGGTAACGCGAACATGCCGTCGTGAGCATTTCGGCTTGAAGCCCGGGGTGACGGGAAAGACTCGCCACGAAATGTACAAAGCTCCTGAGGGGTTAATGGTTAATGGTTAATGGTTAAAAGCAAGATAAATGTGCTAGACATCTAAGGTCATGTAGCACTATAGTTAATGTTAGTGAAAGGTGGTTGAGTTAGTGATTAGTTGTCTAAGCTGGGCAAAGGAATTGGTGAGTTAAAGGGTTAAGGTCGGGTGTTAGATTAGATAAAGGATATGTATGCGTTTGAGGAAAGAGAACAGGTTGTTGATGCAGAAAGTGTGGGATTCTGTAAGGATGTCTGATAGGTTGGGAGGTCGGTGAAGGGAGGATAGGTGGGGGAAAGCAGAGGTACGGGCTGCTTCAAAACGTGGGCACGACAATAGGATGTGTACGATTGAAAGGGGAACATTACATAAGGAACATAGGGGTGGATCAGATTGTGACATCAGATAGGAGTGTGTTAGACGGGTGTGGCCAATGCGTAAGCGGGCGAGAGCAGTCTCCCAACGTCTGTTCCGATGAAATGGAGCTGACCAGGAGGAGATTGATAGTTTTACAGAATGTAATTTATTAGTGTGGAGGCTTGACCAGAAAGATTGCCATCGTTTATACAAGAAGGTCTTAAAGTGTGGGTAATAATCCGTGGCTGGGATACGTGAGAAGCGTGGTTGGTATGATGTGGACATAGCAGCGTGGCGTGCTAGTGTATCTGCCTGTTCATTGCCGGGGATTCCAACATGGCTGGGCACCCAGCAAAATTTGATTGTTTTGTGGCGTGTGGACAGGTAGAACAACCAGTTCTGGATCTTACAAACAAGGGGGTTGGTGCTGTGTATTGACTTTATGAGAGTTAATGAGCTACGGGAGTCAGTAAAAATTGTAAAAGAGGAAGAGGAGAGTGAGTATATGTGTTTTAGGGCAAAAAGGAGTGCATACAGTTCAGTAGTAAGGACACTGGATTCAGGAGGAAGGGAGTATTTGAAAGTACGAGTTGGGAATATTACTGCAAAACCAGTACCAGAGGTGGATTTGGAGCCATCAGTATATACGTGTATACTAGAGGAATGGGTGGAGACATGGTCAAGGAAATGGATGAGAAGGACAGTAGGAGGAATATTTGATTTTGGTGGGTCGGGGAAAACAGAAGAGCAAATATGGGGGTGAGGTATAAGCCATGGAGGGACGGAATGGACAGAGAACGGGAGAGGTTGGAGATGGGGGAAAGGGGAATGGGAGAGGAGGGTATCCATGCGAGTGGAGAAAGGAGTAGGTAAGCGTGGAGATGAAGCTAAGGTAGGAAGTAGGGATTGTGGGATAGTTAGTTTAGTGAGGGGAAGTTGGTGGAAACGAACATAACATCGGAGTGAGAGCAGGGCACGACGTCGAGATAGAGATGGTATGCCTGATTCAGTATACAGGCTCTCAACTGGAGAGGAGCGGAAGGCGCCTAGTGCTAAGCGAAGACCACAGTGATGGATTGTGTCAAGATGGGCAAGGAGAGAAGTTGAGGCAGAGGAGTAGATATGGCATCCATAATCAAGAGTGGAGAGGATCAAAGTAACATGAAGATGAAGGAGAGTTTTGCGATCTGAGCCCCATGATATATGGGATAGAGTTTTTAAAATTCGAAGGCGGCGGAGAGCTTTTTCTTTAATGTGTAGAATATGGTCTCGCCAGGTCAGTTTGGAGTCAAAAATGACGCCTAGGAATTTGCCAGAGGAACGGCATTGGAGTGGAGTGCCATATAGGAAGAGTGGGGGTAGGGGATTTACACGTGAGCGAGAGAAAAGGATGGAGAAAGATTTAGAGATAGAAAAGCGGAAGCCATGGTTTGTGGCCCAGGAAGATACTGATGAGATTGCAGATTGAAGAAATTGGTAGAGATTTGGTATGGATGTGCCAGATGCATAGATGGTT